CAAAATGTGAAGACTGTGTGGGGAAAAATGGACACAAATCACACCTGAGCAATGTATGCGACTAGTTTCTCCATACAGGAGTCATCTTGAACCTGTCCTTGCCAACAAAGGATTTTGTATGAAGTATTAAATACATTTCAGTTAGCGTGTTCAACACTTTTTCCCTGTGTCATTCCATTTTATTACACATAACTTAATTGCTGAGCTTTTATTTCTGTTTCTTTCTTTGTATGGATTACATGGGTTATTACCGACATGTGAAAATTTCATGTCAATAGCACCTTTAGAAATATCCAATCAAGAAAGACGTGCCTAAGCTCTACTGCTATTTGAAAGGATTGAGCGTGGGAAGTCGGTGTTCAAGCTGTAATGTTCACTTCAAGATATGTAGAAATATAGGTGGCAACTCGGTCACTTCTTCATAAAGAATCTTTATTGGAACATAATAGGGGGTATAAAATCCATAAAAGCCAACACGCTTTGGCCAAAGCCTTCCTCATAGAATACAAAAAAATGAATAAAAACCCAAATATGTAATATGACAACCCCCCTTAATGTAGGTAGTAGTGGTATTCGCTTAATTAAGAACATCAAATTGATTAATCACAGGTGGAGATGAATCAATGGAGTTTAAGAATGCATTTCTATCAAACAAAGGTAAATAACCTAAGTCTGAATGTACATACAAAATAAATATCTTGATCAAAACCATCAGACGTGTATGTATATAACACCTTTATAAACTTATCACAGAAATATTATTGTCCTGACTATAAACATAGACATGTCATCAGAAAAAAAAAAACAAACTAATGAAAACATATTAACTACTATAAAAAACATTTTTCATTTGTTATTTCAAAAACAGGTTGACATCCATTCTATTGTCTAGGCCATGGGGATCCCTGGTAGCATGTGGATCCACCACACCTCGTGCCAAAGTAGGATGCAGTGTGCGTCACCCCCCTCTTATTAGCTTTTTTACTTGTTTGAGAAAATACTCAAAGGCGAATGTATGCAGCAGTCACACCCACACACACACAAAACAGTGATTGTCCCACACGTGTGAGGTATCACCGCATACATCAGATCATGGGCAGTATTTCTAGTACCAGACCTTCTGTGTAAATCTAAAGTGGTAACCTATAAAGGCTTTAAAGCATCTCCTATGAATAGTAAAATTTACACCGTTTCTTGCCGTTGCACTCCCAAGCTTAAGTTTAATGCATGATAAGTTTGGTATCTATTTGCTTGACTTGATATCTTTTATGTTTTACCAAAAAATTGGGTTATGTATTCATTTTTTTTTTTTTTTTTTTGCATTAAATTTAAAAAAAGTGTATTTTTATCCCAAAAAAATTGTGTTTGAAAAACCTCTGTGCAAATACTGTGCGACGTAAAAAAGTGCAAAACCCACCAATTTATTTTCCGGGGCATCTGCTTAAAAAAACTGGGAGTTCTAAGAAATTTTCAAAATATTAAAAGTTTAAGTTGCCATAAAGCCCCTTTCCTTTTTTAAAAGCCCCAGACATTCCTGCTGGTTTATTATCTGACCAGCCATTAGCTCTGGTGAGTTCATTTAATCTCCTTTGGTGGTGGATTTCTCACAATTGGTTCAAGTCACTGAAGATATATATATTTTTTTGGACACTAATTTATGTTTGGACACTATAATTTATTTAAAACACTAATGTTTTTTGGATGATGTTATACACTTTTGTATAAGTTTGTTATTGGCGCATACCTTTTAATTTGGATTCCTAAAAGCACCTCTGCCTAATAGAATTGTTTGTTTTGTATCAGGACAAGTAGATTGGCACCCTGTATTCGTCCTTGGACCAGTAGTTTTTTAAAACATTGCCACACCCCTGATCAGCCTGCTCCTAGATGGTTCGAACCTTGGTCCATCCCTTCTGAACCAGTCAAGATTCGAACCATCTATCCTGCTGAACCAGCTGAGATTCGAACCATTTATGGCCGATTTTAAGTGTGTTATTTCTGACATGGCTTGAGGGCTGAAATAAGTGAGAAATCTGAAAAAGTACTTAACTGGAGAGGATGGTTTAGTGTCACACCCGCCTTCACTGAAAATTTGAAACTCAATTCTGGGCTATTTTTTTTTTTTTTTTTTTTTTTTTACTAGAGTTTTTTGCTTTTTATGTGTAGAGAAAATAATAAAAAAGCTCTGGCTGCTGCCCTCACTATAATTCTGGGTCTGTCCCCTACAGTAATTCCTTTTTGCCAGAAGATGTCCTCAGTCTTCCGTGTTGAATGTATCCTAACCCGGAGTGCTGAGAACATGCAGTGAGTGCAGGAAATCAGGGGCCCCATCCATGCAGCTCATGGCTGTGTAATGACAGAGCAGTTCTGACGTTACTACTCTCTCCATCATTGAGGATTGCCCAGCTCAGAGAAAGGGCAAATAGGAAGAATACCTTTAAAGCTACACATCTCCAGCCTGAAGACTTTGAAAAAGGTAAGTAGACAAAGCATAAGATATCCCGGGGTACCTTCTGGTGTTGGGATGGACATAGTGCTAGGCCCAAAGTTGGGCATTTCATAGTCTGGTTGAAGAAAAGTCCATCCAGTTTAACCATTTGAAGACCAGGCTATTCTGACACTTTTTTGTTTAGATGTAAAAATCTGTAATTTTTTTGCAAGAGAATGTCTTAGAACCCTAACATATATATTTTTAAAAGCAGAGGCCCTAGAGAATAAAATGGTGTGCGTGTTGCAATTTTTGATGTCACATGGGATTTGCTCAATGGTTTTTACAAACACAATTTTTTTTTTTTGGAAAATTTTTAATGAATTTTAATGGCCAAAAGCACAATATAACTGTTTGATAAAATAGAAAAGATGATGTTAAGCTGAGTAAATAAATACCCAACATCTCTTTAAAACTGTGGACGCCTGTGGAGTGGTAACAAACTGCGTACATTATCCATAGGTGATTCTTTAAAAGCCTTTCCAAGTTACCACTTTAGATTTACACAGAAGGTGTAGTGATACCTCATGTGTGGTGCAATCGCTGTTTGTGCTGTTGTGGGTCTGACTCATGCATTCATGCACGGGGGAACAGGGGTGCTTTTTTTTTTTTTTTTTTTTTTTACACCATACCTTTTTCTACTACTTTTTTTTTTTTTTTTTTTTTTTTTTTTTTTTTTTTTTTAATCACATAGGGATCTTCCATAGATTATATCAAATAATGGTTTTAATGTACAAATTGCTTTAATCAGAAAAGGGGCAATCTGTCCTGATGAAAAATTAAACCTAACTTTTGTTGGTTGTTCTCTGTTACATATATAGTCAGCATTGCAGGGCCAGATTGCCATTGGAATAGCCTCGTGAGACTTGCTTCAGATAGAAATGTAGGATGGAGTGCATCTTCCTTAAACAGAGCTGCTGCTCAAAGAAGGTATGTTCTGGTCCAAGGCTGCTCCAAAAAGCAGGTGGATAAGCAGAGTTTTTACCCGCCCCCATCTGGCCAATAAAACAATGGCATGTAGCCTCATAGGGCTGTACACATATCACAGCCATGGCAAATATTAAACAGCATGTCGCATTCAGAAGGCTGTACCACCACCGAATGCAGCCCACTCAAGTGAATAGGGCGGCGCCACAACCAACCATCTAACCAATCATCCGGTTTAAGGGATGAATGCTGGGAGAGCACCACGTTTATCACTAAGTCCCCAAATACAGTTTTTTATAAGTATGCATATTCCTGAATACCTACCGTTTACAGTCTGCTACCATGCAGATTGTCTAGCATGTAATTAGCTTCAAAATGGATATAGATATGACAGGTCTCAGAAATCTATTTCTAATAGGAGTGGCGTGGAGGCCTAATCCACTCTGGTACCTCCTAGCATAGGGCTGTTTGTGTTCTCAATAGCTGAGGGAGGTAAATATATCTATATTCTGGCTGTGCTGTCATTTCATGAATTATGAAATATGCTGATGTTTTAGAGTCTTGGCTGATAACCAGTCCATCAGGGATGTGTATTCACCTGATTTCCAACTAAGGTATTTATGACCCAATGTCTGTTAACTTTCTGGTCATTGAAGCAGCTACGTCAGACACTTTTATGGCCCTGTGATGTGTATTGGGGGTTCGATTATGCTGGTCCTATTACCAGGCTAATAAGGGGCGTATGCCAACAACTAAGATTTTGTGGATTGTATGAGCTGAAAGGAAGTAGGAGGGGTGAGAGGAAAAGTTCAGTGTGTCCATTTCTCTCTTCTGACAAAATGGCATGGAAGACTTGTGACCTGAACAAGATGGATGTCTACAGCTTTCATGTGCCTAATGCGCACAACTATTACAGCATCACAATCAAGTGTGCCACACAGATGTTATATATGTATAGCACCTGATTGTTCACCTTTTTAACTCCTTGGCGCTGGCCATATGAATATATGCAGCCTCTCGGCGGGTGGGCCTTAACACTGAGAGGCCGCATGATCTGTGCCAAGAGCGCATGCCGTGCGTGCTCCCGGCATAGTTACCAGTGGCTAACAGCTCTCCATCTCTTTGGGAGCTTTTAGACCATGTGATCGCTGTGACAGCCAATCACGGCAGTCACATGATCAGAAATTTGTAGTCTGCCATGCCATAGTGCGCTGATGACGTCACTAGCAGCTAATAAAGTAAATATCTCCTAAAAGGTGCACGTTTAGAAGATATTTTCTGTACGTTATTATAGGCTTACCTGTAGGTATAAATAAAAGAGTAGACTTAAGTACCGCTTTTAAGTATTTTATTTTAAAGCTGTATTCCACGCAGATAAAAACACTGATTAATGTAGTTATTACTTACAGGGATTTCTTAACAGATAGCCCTGGTTCTCAGTGCTGCTTCATGTCAATCTTTTAAATAAAATAAAAATTTTCACTTGTTCATAGATTGCTGAGACTAATGTTGCCCTTTGTTTGCTTTTTTTTCAGGCCTATGGAACCTGGTTTTCCTCTTCTCTAACCTGTCATTAGTGTTCTTGATGCCATTTGCCTATCTTTTCACCGAGGCTGAAGGTTTTGCGGGATCAAAAAAGGTAACAAGCCCAACTTGCCTGAGAATCTTACAAATTATGAATCAAAGTAGGTTTACCTGTGGGCCTTTCTGAAGGTGTGCTGCTTGCTTGCACACTGCAGAGGAATTTAGTTAATGGGATTGAATGTATTAATATTATTTGATTTCTGCTTCAGCAGTATCATCAGCATTCAGTTTTATTAGCTGAAATGTCCTAACCTGTCATAATATTTTTTTGTCTTGTGTAGGGGTGGGAAGGCCTGTGGGAAAAAAAACATCTCTAGTTCTGTATAATAAAATGGCTTTCTTTTCAACAAACAGTTTGATTTTTTTTTATAGGAGTAAATGTCTGTGTAGGAGGTCGCTACCTACACCTCTGGCACAATCTAGTTTTGGATACAGTGGTTCTTAAAGTGGTAGTAAACCGCAAACCAAAAAAAAAAAAAAGGTCATAATGTGCTAGTATGCACCACATACTAGCACATTATGACAGACTTACCTTTAAAACAAAGCCATCCAGCTGCACGCTGTCACCGCTGAAGAACTTCCATTTTCTCGTGCTCTTCCTTTTGGGTTTGCAGGCTCCAGTTGTTTTAATGCCCAAGCTGCAATGAGGTCACTCCCACGTATGCATGCAGGAGTCACAGCCGTAGCACAGCTTTCTCAATGGACAGCATGCCGTCCATTGAAAGTACAGTTCAGTGCACTGCTCGTGCGCTGATGACGTCACTAGCAGCTAATAAAGTAAATATCTCCTAAAAGGTGCACGTTTAGAAGATATTTTCTGTACGTTATTATAGGCTTACCTGTAGGTATAAATAAAAGAGTAGACTTAAGTACCACTTTTAAGTATTTTATTTTAAAGCTGTATTCCACGCAGATAAAAACACTGATTAATGTAGTTAGGTTTTCATGTAAATGCAGCTAGCCTGAACACCTGAATTTTTCAATATCCACCTTATCTCCTATAAAGCAGAACTCAGACTGGGATAGGAAAGGCTGTCACTCTGAGCCAACCAGGCTCTGCTGCATAAATATGCGTGAACATGCTTTCCAGGAAGAGAAAGCAGAATTAGTAGAAGGATAACTGTATCGATCTTCTGCTGCTCCTGCACTGTCCAATCAGGCTCAGAATGCGTTTGATCAGTATACTTGCAATAGCTGTGCTGCCCTTAAAGTGGAGAATTGAGGATCTGCTTGTGCAGAGGCACCTGGATGAAACGCTTTATTTATACAGAACTATTCGGTGGTAAAACAGCTGGCTCTGCAATGAAAACTAGAATTCTAGCTTCCATACAACTCTGGAACTGCAGATTGGTGCTTTGTGTGAATTTCCTAACAGCTGTAAAGCCTGTCATTTGTATTGTTCTGTTTGCAGGGAGTGATGTCCAGAGTGTATGAGACATCTGTAGTTCTTCTGCTCCTCACACTCCTGGTGTTTGGCATCGTATGGGTGGCATCTGCAATTATTGATGATGACTCAGCTGGAAGAGAATCCCTCTATGGTACGTTTTTTGTTTTTGTTAGCCACAGCAGTGGTAAGTGCTTATAGAAAGAGATGTATAAAGTTTGAACGACAAGCTTTAAAAAGATCTTGAGAACAAAGTGAAACCATTGTTAACATGACCATTCGTAATAATTTGGATATAACAAAGGGTAAACACCTCAAAAGGTTTTTTCCCACCTGTGTACCATTGGGGATATTTCCTAAGAACCTAAGTAGGAGTCCATTTTTTTTTCTAAGTGAAGAAAATCATCTCAGACGTTTGTTACTGGAGAAAGTTTCCCCATTGGACGTTTTCCCTCACCTCCTATTCTGGTGACCTCTTCTACAGTCAGGTCCATAAATATTGGGACATCGACACAATTCTAACATTTTTGGCTCTATACACCACCACAATGGATTTGAAATGAAATGAACAAGATGTGCTTTAACTGCAGACTGTCAGCTTTAATTTGAGGGTATTTACATCCAAATCAGGTGAACGGTGTAGGAATTACAACAGTTTGCATATATGCCTCCCACTTGTTAAGGGACCAAAAGTAATGGGACAGAATAATAATCATAAATCAAACTTTCACTTTTTAATACTTGGTTGCAAATCCTTTGCAGTCAATTACAGCCTGAAGTCTGGAACGCATAGACATCACCAGACGCTGGGTTTCATCCCTGGTGATGCTCTGCCAGGCCTCTACTGTAACTGTCTTCAGTTCCTGCTTGTTCTTGGGGCATTTTCCCTTCAGTTTTGTCTTCAGCAAGTGAAATGCATGCTCAATCGGATTCAGGTCAGGTGATTGACTTGGCCATTGCATAACATTCCACTTCTTTCCCTTAAAAAACTCTTTGGTTGCTTTTGCAGTCTGCTTTGGGTCATTGTCCATCTGCACTGTGAAGCGGCGTCCAATGAGTTCTGAAGCATTTGGCTGAATATGAGCAGATAATATTCCCGAAACACTTCAGAATTCATCCGGCTGCTTTTGTCAGCAGTCACGTCATCAATAAATACAAGAGAAGCAGTTCCATTGGCAGCCATACATGCCCACGCCATGACACTACCACCACCATGCTTCACTGATGAGGTGGTATGCTTAGGATCATGAGCAGTTCCTTTCTTCTCCATACTCTTCTCTTCCCATTACTCTGGTACAAGTTGATCTCGGTCTCATCTGTCCATAGGATGTTGTTCCAGAACTGTGAAGGCTTTTTTAGATGTTGTTTGGCAAACTCTAATCTGGCCTTCCTGTTTTTGAGGCTCACCAATGGTTTCCATCTTGTGGTGAACCCTCTGTATTCACTCTGGTGAAGTCTTCTCTTGATTGTTGACTTTGACACACATACACCTACTCCTGGAGAGTGTTCTTGATCTGGCCAACTGTTGTGAAGGGTGTTTTCTTCACCAGGGAAGAATTTTTCGCTCATCCACCACAGTTGTTTTCCGTGATCTTCCGGGTCTTTTGGTGTTGCTGAGCTCACCGGTGCATTCCTTCTTTTTAAGAATATTCCAAACAGTTGTTTTGGCCACGCCTAATGTTTTTGCTCTCTCTCTCTCTGATGGGTTTGTTTTGTTTTTTCAGCCTAATGATGGCTTGCTTCACTGATAGTGACAGCTCTTTGGATCTCATCTTGAGAGTTGACAGCAACAGATTCCAAATGCAAATAGCACACTTGAAATGAACTCTGGACCTTTTATCTGCTCATTGTAATTGGGATAATGAGGGAATAACACACACCTGGCCATGGAACAGCTAAGAAGCCAATTGTCCCATTACTTTTGGTCCCTTAACAAGTGGGAGGCACATATGCAAACTTGTAATTCCTACACCGTTCACCTGATTTGGATGTAAATACCTTCAAATTAAAGCTGACAGTCTGCAGTTAAAGCACATCTTGTTCGTTTCATTTCAAATCCATTGTGGTGGTGTATAGAGCCAAAAATGTTAGAATTGTGTCGATGTCCCAATATTTATGGACCTGACTGTATTTTTGGATTTTCCTTACTAGTGGTAACCAGGACAAATAAAGAGCTTTTTCTCCCTAATGGAGAGAGGTGAGAAATTGGGCTCCTAAGAATAACCCTCCTGATGTTACTGATTGAGCATGTCAGCCGCTTTGGCAGGATGCAGACAGGTTTCTTCAAATTGAACTGGAAAATGTCTGCTCTCGGGGACCAAATAATAATCTTTCTCCTCTTCCTATACATTATATAAACCCAGCATCTTGCTTAAATTGTACCTGAGAGAAAAATGTATGTTTTTTGCACACAACGTGCAATAAAAAACAAGTTTTCCTGGTTGCTAGGAATGGACATACTACAGATACATTTGAGGCAGTATCATATCTTCCCTGCCATAGTAAGACAGTCAGTGGGGGCCTTTTAATCTTTATTATGTTTTTTACAGTGTTTCCACTAAAATACTGAAATGTAACAAAGATTAATAAAAAGGGTTCTCTTTTACGGAGCATAATAGTAGGGATGCACCGAAATTTCAGCCGCTGAAACATATCAGCCAAAAATAGCCGATACAGTACTACAGATGTGAGGGGGGGGGGGGGGGGGCAGCGGAGAAAGGGCAGGAAAGGAGTAGCGTATACAGTGACTGGCTTCCTATATGTCAGTGCTGATTTTTAAATGTAATTACCAGCTTTTTTTTTTTTTTCTTCTTTATAGCTCAGAGAAAGAGCTGTCACTTTCCCTGGAGCTAAAGGAAACTAAGGGGTGGGGTCATTGGGTAATGCCACTGATGACCCCGCTCCTTTGTTTCTTTTAGCCCTCTGAGAATGACAGCTCCTTCTCTGAGCTATAGTAAAGAGGAAAAAAGCTGGTAATTTTAAATTTAAAAAAAAACAGCATTGTTTTTAAATGCAATTTGGGGCTTTTTTTTTTTTTCTCTTCACTATAGCTCAGAGAATGAGCAGTCACTTTCCCCGGGGCTAAAAGAAACAAAGGGGCGGGGTCACCCAGTGACATTACCCAGTGACCTCACCCCTTAGTTTCCTTTAGCTCCAGGGAAAGTGACAACTCATTCTCTGAGCTATAGTGAAGGAAAAAAAAAGCTGGTAATTACATTTAAAAAACAGCATTGACATAGTGACAGCCAGTGATGGAGCCTCTCTGTATACACTGCTCCCTCACTGTATACGCTGCTCCTCTCCTGCCCCCTCCTTGCACACACTGCCCCCCCCCCCCCCACCTACACAAACAGGACCTGTCACTTTATATGCTATCACATAGGGGACTATGTGATAGCAATAAAATCATAAGTTAAAATAAATAAAAATATACATTAAAGTAGAAAAAAAAATTGGAGCCTCCCCACCCCCACATATGCAGACGTTTCGGTTCGGTTTTCGGCCGCATGCATTCTGAATTTTTGTTATCGGTTTCGGCACCAGAATTTTCATTTCGGTGCACCACTACATAAAAGGGTTCATGGATGTGAGATTAGTAAATAGGATGAGTGATTATAACTTTTCTCTTTCAGATTTGTGGGAATACTACCTACCATACCTCTACTCAGGCATCTCTCTGTTTGGAGTTCTTCTTCTGTTATGTAAGTATAACAGTGCAATAGCTGCATCCTGCAGGATACGGATACCAGTAATTATATAGGAATGCACTTTAATTCTTGCTGAATGTTTTCACTAGGGGCACAGCTTTTGCTAAAATTTAAAACAAACTATGGGCAAAACTACATATGTTATACAGTCTGTCACAAGCATTAACAAGTTTTATTACCTGTTGATCCTTACAGTAAATCTATTGAGTTTCCACTTCCCATGACAACTAGCCAGAAAAAGTGACAGTTATACTTTAAACCACAGTATAACACTGCTGGAATTGCTTGGTTAATATAGCCTAAAGCAGTATTAAAACCAAAAAATGTAATATATTGCAGCATACCAATCATTTGATGTGACGGCTGCATTCTTATTTTTAGGCTTTTTTTTTTTTCTTCTGTTTTCAACTGGTGATCAGGCCAATACCACTTCTATATTATAGTGCCTACACTCTGAATGAAGGCTAACAGGGGGGCATCTTTTGGACAGCAGCTCTGGCAGTCTGGGGGAAGCCAAACTCCAGTTAATACTTTATAAGCAGTTACAGAAAACTTTTTTTTTTTTTTTTTTTGGGATAAATGTTTTACTAAATAAAAGCCGATCATTGTAAGCACCCCTGTCAGTGTTAAATGGTTTGTCTCATCCCTGTAACTGATAAATCTGCAGGACAGCTTGATCTCTTGAAAAGCAACAAACTTGCTGGCTGGATCACAAGTTGAAAATATAATAAGTCACAAAAAGGAAAATAATGCATCTATCACATCTAAAACTAAAAGCAAACATTATATTGCAGTTTACCAATTTTTAAAGTATTACTAAACCCAGGACCCCGCATTCACTATATCTTGTCTCCCACAGTACACAGAGCATGGAAATGCAATTATTTTACAAAATATAAACTGCTAAATACCTTTTTTCATCAGCAGTTAGAGCAGTCTTGTGCGTTGTGTCCATCTGAGCACTGGTTAAAGCTTGTAGGAGTTTTCAATCTGCTCTAGGACAGGGGTAGGCAACCTGCAGAACCCCTAACCTCTGTCTGGACAGTGCTAATTGTGCCTCTGCTGATCACATGCACTCTCCCAAGAAAAGGAACAAACTCGCTAGCAATACAAACCAAACTTATGTGCAGCTTGCCCCCAAGACTCTGTTCTATCAAGAGATGACTTGGGGACACTGGAAGATGGGGAGGGACAGAGAAGTCAGGATCAAACATCCTTTATACACAATGCAGAGGATTAACCCCTTAGGTTCCACAGTGAGTATAACAAGTATGCTTTACTGCATATACAGACTAATTTTACTGTTGTGGGTTTTGTAGCACTGGGTTTAGTAACACTTTTTAATACTGCTTTAAACTTTTTTTTTTTTTTGTTGCTGTAACTGCTTAAAAAAATGTTAGCTGGAGTTGGGTTTCAATTCTGTTTCTGTTACATGTTCCCAGATTATGCACACCAAAGCATTTAGCTATACTAAACAAGTAGTAAAGGAACAGGGAACAAAATGGTGGATGACTACACTACAGGAAGACTGACTCCTTTGTTAATACAAGTCCACAAATTCGATAAAGCAGGAGGCACAAGCCTAATGTTTCATGCTAGAGTGCTCCCAATCATAGTATACTCTTGACTGGTAAGCTACAAAATATCATTTTTGGTTTGGGGTTTAATCTATCCTTCCAGCCCCAAGTCCAATCACTAACAAACTCATGCAGACTCCACCTCCGCAACATCGCCAAAATACGCACGTTCTAACCCCAAAAACCACTAAACAGCTCATCCACTTCATCACATCACGACTCAATTACTGCAACTCCCTCCTCACTGGCCTGCCTCGCCACAGACTATCCCCACTTCAGTCGATCCTGAATACGGCAGCCAGGCTCATCCACCTTACCAACCGCTCCGTTTACGCCACCCCCCTCTGCCAATCCCTCCACTGGCTTCCAATTGCCCAACGGATCAAATTCAAAATCCAAACACTGACGTACAAAGCTGTCCATCATACTGCCCCAAACTACATCACCGACCTAATATCCAAATACCACCCAAAACGCACTCTCCGCTCCTCACAAGACCTCCTTCTTTCTAGTTCCCTAGTCTCCTCCCATGCTCGCCTACAGGACTTCTCCAGGGCGTCACCCATACTCTGGAACTCCCTACCCAATCCATCAGACTATCAGCTACTCTCCTCACCTTTAGGCGCATCTGAAAACCCACCTCTTCAGGGAAGTCTACCCCACCAACTGCTAATTCCAGACCTCCTCCACTATTCCTACCACTCCATCCCCCACAGCTATTTCCTCCTGTACCACTATCCCCTCCCTCCTAGATTGTAAGCTCCAAGGAGCAGGGCCCTCGAACCCCTCGTGTATTGCATTGTATTGTTATTGTACTGTCACATGTTCTGTCTCCCATTGTAATGTACAGCGCTGAGCGAACGTTTGGTGCTTTATAAATACTATATAATAATACGAATACTGCTTTAATTGCTATTTAGCATGTCACTCCTGTTGTACCACATTTTATGGACTTGCATTAATAAAGAAGCTTGTTTTACTGGAGTGCAGTCATCCACTATTCTGCTCCCTGGACTTTCAGAAACTAGCACAAGATGTGTTTAGTATTTTTGCCGGCCTAAATGGACCAGCCTGGAGTGGCATTGCATGTGTCTAAAGCAGCAAAATAACTTTAAAACAAACCCTCGTTCATTCTTTTATCTACAGGCATTGAAGGGAAATGTGTTTTCAAAATTTACAACAGAGGCACTGAAATATTTCGATTTTTGCTGTAATAGCAAATCATGGCAGTCCAGTCCCCCAATGTAGACACACAGTAGATTTTAAAGTGGAGTTCCAGCTGAAAAAAAAAAAAGTCAGCAGCTACAAAAACTGTAGCTGCTGACTTTTAAAATATAGACACTTACCTGTCCCTCGGTCCAGCGGTGACCACACCACCACTGGTTTCACCGGCCGTCTCTTCTCCCTGGTGCCGGCATCTTTAGTGTGGGCACCCGGTTGTGACAGCATGAGGCTTCACAGCCGGGTGCCCTCTGCACATGCGCGAGAAGCACTGCACTTTGTGAATGGTACCTGTCACTTGTGCCAGAAGACTACGGGGAGGGATGGAGGACGTCTTCCGCTTCCGATCGCAGCGAAGTGGGACCGGGTACCTGTCAAATTCAGGTCCCTGGTTTCCCAAAGGTGCCAATCCTTAATGGGGGGAGCAGGGGACAAAGCATTAAAGCAGAACTTCCCCTTTTGGGTGGAAATCTGCTAGAAAACTGCTGAAAGCTAACTTCAGAGTCTCTGTTGCGATGATTGAGAATCTTTTGAAAATTAATTGCATCACAGTATATACAGCCAGAGAGGTAAGTGGGGGTTTGTTTTAAACCTTAATAAAGTTTTTTATTACTTGTTATGAGTATGTAAATAGGCAGATCTTTACCGTCTGGGCACAGGTGTACTTTAGTAATGTTCTTCTGAAAGGAACATACATTCCACATCAATAATGATGCTACCAAAGTTATTGTGTGCTGTAAATTGCCTCCAGAATTGTTCCTGTTTCTTGCTGGAGGTTGCCATTTTGCTGAAGCCCTGAGTCCTTTATCAGCAGTAAATGTTTAGGCTTTCAGCAGATCGGCCTCTATATTTTGGCACAGTGCCAAAAATAGAACGCAACAGAGCATGTTCAGAGCGAGAGGAGACAGTGTATTACTGGATTTTCAACAGGCCGAAGTGACTTAGCAGGACTTCATTTTTAGGTTCCACTTTAAATGGATTTTGGAAATAGAGCAGGTATACTGACATGATCAACCGGTATTAAAACTGTTAGTGGTGGTTAAACAAAAATGTGTGATAATGCTAGTAATACTGCATTGTGGCATTTTGTTTTTGGCCATAGTTAAGGCCTATGCCTGATTGCCAGCCTTATTATTTATTTATTTTTTTTTGAGAAAATCTGTCAAAAAGGATACAATCTCTTGTACTGTCTGACCCAAAAAACAGTAAAATCTGTACTGGTCTGCATGTGTTTTCCAAGACAGAGACCCACAAAGTATTGAAGTAATTAGATTGGCACAAAAGCCAAGAAACACGCACTTTCTGGAGAAACTAGGATTAATAGCTTCTGTCTCTCTCAGTACAGGATTTCTAGGATATTTTGGCTTGTGCAGGAATCTAAAGAAAAAAACTTGAGCTAATGTAGTTATTTAGGCTTACCCATAAAAGATTTACATTTACCCCCTTATGTGCCTTTGCTTATTCTGAGTCTGAGAGGTAGAAATGAAAGTTCCTCTTTGATCATACAGTAGTTACCCTGTCAGCTACCTGGCCTCATGCTGCTAACACTCACTAGATGGAATTCACTAAGGACCTGTTCACACTTGTCCGCACACTAAACTCAAGCAGTTTATCTTACGGGCAGCAGCATCTTTGACTGTAGAGAAGTACGGCTGGGGCAGAGTGATGCATGTTTTATCACATCACCCAGCTCTGTTTTTTTTTTTTTTTTTTCTTTTTTTTTTTCTTTCTTTGTATGTGTGCGCGTGCACGTTCATTTTATTTGAAATGTACAAAGTGACACTTCAGTCATGTCACAGCAGTGTGGTGTCATTCATGGACATCTAGAATGCTGCAATATCAACATAATCACACAGCTCTGGAACACCGTGAAACACCACATTCTGGTGTGAACATGAAACATGGAAAACTGTTTTTGTCATTAGTTACCTGTGTTTTTTTCCATGAGTCAAAACACGGGTAACTACACATGGTATGAGTTGGCCATAAGATGCAGAAATTATTTGCCATAACAGCTAATATTTTCAGCCATGACAGCAAGTAACATTGACAATTATAGTTACATGGTTAAAAATAATAGTCATGATTATAAATAACAGGGCATTATGTGTACCGTATTTTTCGCACCATAAGACGTGCCTAGGTTTTAGAGGAGAAAAACAAGAAAAAAAATATTCTGAACCAATGGACTACAGACATAGTATAGCAGATGACCAGAGACTGCGGACACAGTACAGGGGATGACCAGAGACTGCGGACACAGTACAGGGGATGACCAGAGACTGCGGACACAGTACAGGGGATGACCAGAGACTGCGGACACAGTACAGGGGATGACCAGAGACTGCGGACACAGTACAGGGGATGACCAGAGGACCTCTTTTGCAGTGTCTCAGTCGGCAACCCCCTTTACAAGATCTTCAAGGCCCTCCTGGATGGGGGCAGGAGCTCCTGAACCCATGCATCCACCATGGGTCCCCCTCAGTGTGCTGATTTGCCTCACCCATCTTCAGGGAAGGGAATCGTTATTGCTGGTTTCTCAGGTCCACGGCCCTCCTCTATCTCCACCACGTGGGTCAGAGTGCTGCTTGTGTCCGCATATGGTATAGCATTTCTTACTTGTAGACTATTGCACCTTGTTTTTTCCTAGGTTTTCTTTTTCCTAGCTTTAGACATCCAGAAAGCATCTTTGCATGCTCCCATGGGTGAGGGACATGTGCGGTTCCCACGTCTTGCAGATGGCGATGCACATTATCAATATCCCCTTTGGACTGGCGTCATCTCACCAGGTGTTCTCCACAGTGCTGGCTCCAGTTCTGGTGTTGCTGAGGCAACGGGGGATTGCTGTGGCTGGTTACTTGAATGATGAGATTCTGCAGGCACACTTTCTGGTCCAGCAGATGGACAACGTGGGGAGCTCAAGGTGCTCCCTACAGGGCTCGGATGGATCCAGAACCTCAGGAAGTCTGCCCCAACCAGGAGACTGGAGTCTCTGGGCCTGATTTTCAACTCCGAGCAGGCTGACTTGTTTCTCCTGATGGATAAGTTTTGGCAGCTTCGGAATGCGGTCCAGCTACTCGTTTTGCAAGCGGTCCTTCTGGCAGTCTTTCATGTGGACTATGGTATCCAACTTCCAGGTGGTCCCATGTTCACAATTCCATGCAAGAATTCTGCAGAGGGAACGTCTGTCCTTACAAGAGTAATCTACAGACAACCAGCTAATCTGCAACAATCTCCAAGGGCTTTACTCTGATGGTGGTTTCCGGTCTCCTGTCAGGCAAGTCAAGAGGTCCTTCTTCCCCTTCCTCTAGATGATCATTTCTGCAGATATCCAGATGGGGAGTACCCCTGGGTTCGAGATCAGACCGAGGCCATTTTGCTTCTGGAAGAGACTTGCCTGCTCGTCATTGTCCTTGAGCTGCAAGCATTCGGGTTTTCTTGGGTGCACTGGATTGCCCTTCTCTGCGGGCTCCTGGTCAGGGCCCAGCTGGACACTGCCACCCCCGCGGGCTCCTGGTCATGGTCCAGCTGGACACTGCCATCCCTGTGGCCTAGGTTAATCACCAGCACGTCTCGTGCATTGTGGCAGTGGCACTGGTGGTGTCCCCCCCCCCCCCCCCCCCCTTGCTGTGGGCTGTTCAGCGCTCTCTGGCCCTCTCCCTTGTGCATGTTCCCGGTGTTGAGAATTGTCAGGTGGATTGCCTCAGCCTACTGACACTGAATCAGGTGGAATGATCTCTGCACCTGGACTGTTTTTTGTAAGGTCTAGCAACGAGGGGGAATCCTGGGAGTGGATATTCTGGCCTCCTGTTTTATAAGAAGGTGCCACTGTTGTGGCAAGAGTGCAGGTCCCTCTGATGGATTCACCAAATGCGGTGGTGGCATCGTGGGAACAGTATCATCCCTTTCTGCCTTTTCCTCCTCTCAGGATGCTCCCTTGGCTGCTGCAAGGGATCGCTGGACAGCAATCGTAAGGATTCTGGTCCTTCTGGTGGTTCCAGTTTGGTCTGTGGTATGCAAAAAACATGGTGGAGCTGATCTCGGACACTCCTGGGTGGTTGCCTACTTGGGAGGACCACCTGTCCCAGGATCTGGTCTTCCACCCTGGGTTGCCATTTCTGTTTTGAAGACATGACTATTGTAAGCCAGCTTTTGTGGGATAGGTAGTTATCAGGTTTGGATCTCTACACAGTGTTGAGGTCTCGCACAATTTGTCACCGCTCCTGGATGGCTTTGATGTCAGGTGCAAGGCCATATTACTTACCAGTGGCTTGGGTGTTGGCCTTTCTTCAATGGGACATTGAACAAAAGTTGCCTTGATTACCCTTATGGATCTAGTTTCTGCCCTCGCTGTCTTTTATGCTTGGCCATGCAGTTCATACGTTGCACCTTTGTTTTGGTTTTATTTGGTGCCCCCCCTCTTGCACTCCCTGTTACCCCCATGGGGTTTGTCTTTGGTTCTTTCTGTTCTACAGAAGCCTTCCTTTGCAGAGTATTTGGGATATTGCCCTGCTTCCTCTTTTTCAAAGAGTTTCTTCCTTGGCCACCATTGCTTCTGAAAGGCGAGTGTCTCAGCTGGCGGTCTCCCTATTTAGCATTACACAAGGATATAGTGGTTCTTTGTCTGTGCCCCTCTTTTCTACCAAAGGGAGTGTTGGAATTTTACCTGAGGACATTGCCCTAATTTTCTTGTGTCCACAGCCGACGCATCCTAGGGAGGTTGACTTGCATGCTTTTGGATGTGGTTTGGGGGGGTTCATGCATTCCTGTCCATTGCAACCTCCTGCTAGGGGACAGATGGCTTTTTATACTCAGATGGCTCACAGAAAGGCCTGGTGGTCTACTCTGCCATGATTTCTTGTTGAATCTGGCAGACGCTTGTTCAGGCATACAGTAGTAAGGGACAGGCTTCCCCCTTCTCCGTTATGGCATGCTCTACAGGGCACTAGTGCCTCTGGTGCCTTCTGGCATCTGTGTCTCATGGTTGTGGGATGACTACCTGGAAATCTGTGCGCACTCTTACTGACGTTTTATACAGTTGATATTTTTGCTTCTTCTGATGCTAATTTTGGCTGCAGAGATTTGCTGGCTGCTGTTTTAGGTGCTTTGTTTTCCCCATTGGGGGTTGATTAGGTGTTTGGCGTGTTTCCCTGGCTGCTCCAGTTGCCTTTTGGTTTGCCCACTCCTCATTGAGGCACTGCTTTGGGACATCCTTATGGTCAAGATTAAGAAGAGCTGCGTCCGTCAATGAACGTAAGAGAACTGTATTTTTTTTTTTTACTCCCCATAAAATCCCTTTCTCTGAGTTTGACTGACACAGCACTCACCCCTCTATTGGAATTTATGCTTTCTGACACCGCTTTGTTGCCAACTAGATTGCCTATAGCAGAGGGGGTTATATGCCAGAAGGGACTGCCCATAGTTTCTTTTCTGCCTAGTGTCCGACTCCTGTAGGTGGCGAAATAACCCTATGGCCAGTGTTAAGAAGAGCTGTGTCCATCAATGAACTCAGAGAAAGGAATTTTACGGTAACGACAAATTTAATTTTTGGGAATCTAATGCAAAGTTTCTTACCTTGACATTCTAGTAACTGCACTACCTAGCGCAGGCTGGGCACACTGCACTGCCTTACAGTGGGAAGGAGCATTAGCTTCTTTTATATGGTCATTGAGCTGTTTATCGGGCCTCTCAGGCAGCACAATGGGAGACTGAAGGAGTATGCATGTTGGCTGACAAGACTGCTGCTTCTACATCTGAGGCAGTGGATTAGTGCTGTCAGCCTACAATGAGAACTGCTCTTTACTGGTAGAATTTCCAAGTTTTAGATAAAGCAGAGCTAAAGTATTCTGAGCTGGCTCCAGAGAAGTAACATCCCCGCTCTCCCTTTGTCACTGGCTTTTCTCTCTCCCGGTTGTCTTTTGGGGTAGTTTTTCTGTTCTATTGGCCTGGCTGACATGAAGTAATTTATGAACCTTTGTGGGTGTTGTGTACATTTGGTAAAAAAAAAAAAAATTACTGTCAGGGCAGAATAGATGTATAGAGTGAGTGTCTTCTACCATAAGTTCATATCTGATAGCAGTTTTTTAAATGTCAACATTTAGCTGCATTTTAAAGTGATATTAAAGGCAATTTTTAAAAAATAATAAACACATTTATTTGCTCTGTGCAGTGGTTTTGAACAGAACAGCCCCGATCCTCCTCCTCTTCTTGGGTCCCCTGCCAGTGCTTCTGGCTCCTCCATCCTGCCAAGCTGATTGCGGGGGGGCACCCAGGCAGGCTTAGTCCCAAGCCACTGCTCTGTGTCCTTTTACACCCGCCCCGCCCCCTCTCACCTTATTGGCTCGCTGGCGGTGATGGCTCCCACTGTTGTTTCTTTCAGCCAATGAGGAGGGAGTGTCCTCAGAGAGCTGAGGCTTTTGTACACATCGTTGGATCATGATGGGGCTCAGGTAAGTTTCGGGGGGGGGGCTGTTGCACACAGACAAAAAACTTAGAGCCTTTACAACCACTTTAAGAAAACTGTAAACATGCATCATGCCAAACATACTGAAAAATAGATTTAGATTTAAAGTCTGTAAATGAATAATTTTGAGTATTAAGATTCTTTCATAAACCCAATCATGGCTTGTTCTCATGAATGTGTGGGCTTGTATCTTCAGCACAGGATTTACAAGCTAACAACTGGACTCGTTGATGAGCACAGTCTGTTCTTGCAGTGGGAGCTGGCTTTTGATCTTTGTCCAAATGTCTGTTTATGATAACTGTAATATCTGTTTTCCTTTCATTGCACTGTATTATGTGGCAAGTAAATCTGCAGTATCTGGAAGTGTGATAATCCCCATTCTATTATGCTGGCATTGTCTCAGTCAAGCATGTTTGCTGGGCACAGTAATTAACTATTGTTTGCTTGGCTCTGCAGTGTGCACTCCGTTGGGCCTGTCCCGGATGTTCTCTGTGACTGGGAAGCTATTGGTCAAACCTCGGGTAGGTGCTTTTTCTGATTTTAATGACTTTTGATGAGGATATGTTTCCTCATCTACTTGTTAAAGTATTGGTTGAGGGACGAATTGATGTAAAGTAGAGCTTTACCCAATAAAAACCTACATGCAATGCACATCCGTTTCACTATGCTATGGGGGATTAGCAGTTTTCCATATCCTGCGTTATTTCAGTGCTGACAGAGGTGTTTGCATTGCACATGTGCCCCCCACTGGCACTGTTAGCATCACTGATAACGGCAGAATAATGATTTCACTATGCAGAGGTCTTCAGTTACAGTAAGCGGAAGGAGGACAGGCATTCGAAGGTGGTTCATGGTAGTGCTCTGCTGCAGTTATTGGGAAAACAAAAGGTTTCCAATGGAATCTATATAGGTTAGTTTGGTAATAGTGTGAGTTTTATTTATTTGTTGTTTTTGCTATGTGTCCATAGTTTTGCCTTAATACTGTTTGCTCTTTTTTCACAATAACTTTCAAGTATTGTATAGTGTTACTCTGGAGTGTTTCCCAAGTAAAAAAAAAAATGTATTTTGTTTTGCAGCTCCTGGAGAACTTGGAGGAGCAAATGAGCTGTACTGCATTTGAGGAAGCAGCCATATCCCGTAAAATATCCAGTGAGTAGCAATGTGTTGCGGCGATAGTCTCCCATCTTACTATAGGGGGATGTGTAAACAGTGCTTAATAGCAAGAGCCTTGTCCTTTACCTTTTGTATGTCGTTGTGGTTAAGTAGTGCTTGTCAGCAGGAGTATCACTTAGTATTAAATGGCCATTCTCTGAGTTGCAGATTGTAATGAAGTAGAAGGAAAAGCAATACAGTCACCTAACCCTCCTTTCAAGCACTGCTTCTCATTGCTCTTCCCGCAGTCAGCTATTAATATATATCAATGTAAATAGATTTGTTTAACTTTTTCCCAAGTAGTCACACTGAAAAGCTTCATTGTGTATGTCTTGTTAGAGAAGGGTTGACAATTGTGCCAATTCCTTAGAGCTGTGATGTCCCCCCACCAGCGTCCACAGCTCTGAAGCATTTTCGGGCCTGAAAGTTCATGCCCACCAGATGCCATGACATACTCACCTGTCAGAGGTTTGTGCTCATGTGACGACTTGAGACCGATTTTTTTTTTTTTTTTTTTTTTTTTTTTTTTTTTTTTAACTGAATGTCTTTTTGCTTTAAGTGTCTTTGCCTGTTATGTGTAGAGAAGATTCACTTCATTACAGCAGCCAGGGGCTATCAAAGTGGAGTAAAGGGAGAATGATATGGCTAAAATAGCCTACGTGTTGGCAGGGAACCCCTGCTATGACCGTTTTAATTATAAGGTGTAGAATTTTATATGCCTCCCCCTCTGTGCATTCTCCTTACTCTTCTCACTGTTGTCTTATGTTTTATTTACAGCAAAAGCTTCATGCTGGCTAAAACTAAACATGGAGGCTTTACAAAAGCGGCTTCTCACCATCAAGAGTAACCGAATTGCATTAGGTGGGAAATCATGGCCTGACCTTCTATAAATGTTTTAATAGTTCAGTTCTCAATGTACCAAGTTTTAATTCACTTTAACATGCAGTCATGGCCAAAAATAATGGCACCCCTGCGTTTGTCAGATAATGCACCACTTTGCCCAGAAACTGTTGCAATTACAAATATTTAGGCATTCTCATGTTTATTTCTTTTGTTTGTATTGGTATGTGCTTAAGCAAAAAGCAGTTGGGAAATGGAACCCTTCCAATTTGAGAGACCTGGAGCAGTTGGCGAAGTAGGAGTGGTCCACAATTCCATTGGAGAGGTGTGAGAAACTCGTTGATTGGTACAGGAAGCGATTGATTTGATTTTAGTTATTTTTTCCAAGGGGTATGTTACCAAATAATTTGTGGGTGCCAATAATTGTGTCCAGTTCATTTTTGGGGTGTTGCATGGAATATGTCAGTTTTGGCTTCTTTTTTTTTTTTCTCCACTTTTTTGTGTCATACAATATAAACATGAGAATGCCTAAACATTTGTAATTACAATTTTCTGGGCGAAGTGTTGCCATATCTGACAGAAATGCAGGGGTGCCATTAATTTTGGCCATGACTGTATATAACATTTCATCACAAAGGACATACAGTGGGGAAAATAATTATTTGATCCTCTGCAGTTTTTGTGCGTTTGCCTACTTACAAAGAAATTAAGGATCTGTAATTTTTATCATATGTGTGTTTTAAATGATAGAGACGGAATATCAATACGAAATCCAGAAAAACACCATACAAATATTATAAACTGAGTTGCAATTCAGTGAGTAAAATAAGTATTTGATCCCCTACCAACCAATAATAATTCTGGCTCCCACACACTGGCTCATGTGGTACACATTAGTCCTGTCAATTTAAGAAAGTGCTCCTAACGACAACTTGTTATGCGTATAAAAGACACATGTCCACAGAATCTTTCTTCTATTCAAACCTCACCATCATGGGCAAATGACCAAAGAGCTGTCAAAGGACATCGGGGACAAAATTGTAGACCTGCACAAGACTGAAATGGGCTACAAGACAATCCGCAAGAAGCTTGGTGAGAAGAAAACTGTTGGAGCAATTATTCGCAAATGGAAGAAATACAAAATAACATCAGTCACCCTCGGTCTGGAGCTCCATGCAAGATTTCTCCTCGGGTAAGGATGATCAAGAGAAAAATGAGGGATCAGCCCAGAACTACACAGGAGGAGCTTGTGAATGATCTCAAGGCAGTTGGGACCACAGTCACCTAACAAACCATTGGTAACACAATATGCTGCCATGGATTGAAATCCTGCAGCACCCACAAGCTACCCCTCCTCCAGAAAGCACGTGTACAGTCCTGTCTAAAGTTTTCCAATGAACATCTAAAATGATTCAGAGAAGGATTGGAAGAAAGTGCTGTGGTCAGATGAAACCAAAAATTGAGCTCTTTGGTATTAACTCGACTTGTTGTCTTTGGAGGAAGAAAAATGCTGACTATGACCCTAAAAACACCATCCCTACAGTCAAGCATGGAGGTGGAAACATTATCCTTTGGGGCTGTATCTCTGCTAAAGGTACAGGCCGACTTTGCTGCATTGAGGGGCCAATGGACGGGACCATATATTGTAAAATCTTGGATGAGAAACTTCTTACCTCAGACAGAACACTGAAGATGGGTTATGGATGGGTCTTCCATCATGACAATGACCCAAAACATACCGCCAAGACAAAGGAGTAGCTCAAGAGGAATCCCTCCTGAGATGTGTGTAAACCTGGTAACCAACTACAAGGAACATCTTACCTCTGTGCTTGCCAACAAGGGTTTCTCCACCAAGTACCCAGTCATGTTTTTCTTGGGGATCAAATACTTATTTTACTCACTGAACTGCAACTCAATTTTATAATATTTGTATCTTGTGTTTTTTCTGGATTTTTGGTTGATATTCTGTGTATACACCTATGATAAAAATTATAGACCCTTCATTTCTTTGTAAGTGGGCAAACTTACAAAATATGCAGGGGATCAATAATCATTTTCTGCACTGAGACGTGATTGACACTTTGTGAAACTGTTGTGCAATGTTCTATGACAATAGACTGTAATTACAGATTCGTAATCATGTTTATATATGAAGTGGAATTTTATGGCTTGTTTTAGATTTGATGTATGTGATCTCGCATCTTTGGATAGCTTGAAAGTATCTAGACCTTAGTGACTTTTCCTTGTTCAGCTATTTACAGCCAGATCAGGGAATTCTTGTGCTTCCTGACCATTCCAAGTATCCCTGTTTGAGTTTTCTCAGGGGGAGAGTTGATTGGTTTTGTTTGATTCTTCCTGACCAATCACTATTCTCCCAAGGAAGGCTGAAGCAAGGGGCATCAGTGTGTCACACTTTCTTTCCATATCCACAGGCATTATATTAGGATGTTTATCGCCAGCTGGATCTTGCACAAAGTGTGAGATTGTCTGTAGGTAGATTTGGCGCTTTTTTTCCCCTTTTTTTTTTTATTTCCTTTTTTTTTTTCCCCCTTTTATCCTTTGGCACCTACACAACATCAATAAGCAAGTGCAAAAAAAAAAAAAAATGAAAGTAGTGTTCTCCTATTGTGCACAAAGGCAGCATTACAGTGCCACCTAGTGACTAGTTTTCAGCATCAATGAGCTTTCTGGTACCATCTTGTTTGTAGGCTGCTCATTTTTGTAGGCCTTAGTAGAGTTAAATGTCTGTGGCTTCTATATTCGTCTAAATTTGGCAGTTTTTCTTACAGAGATGAGAAGGAAGGCCTCTCCATGGCAGCGAAATTTGGTTTATCCTCTAGCCATGCTGTTGCTCCTCGCACTCACAGTAAGTAATTTATTTTGTGCCACAGGTTAACAATTCAAGTACTGAATCAGTTTCAGAGTCTAGACATAATGTACCTTTCCATTTTTATAGGGTATCTCTGTACTGATTGTGTGCTTCCATGTCTTGGAACTTCTAATTGATGAAGCTGCCATGCCAAAGGGGATGCAGGTAAACCATTACATTTTAAATCATCCTCTATATTTATCAATTTTCTGTCACATTCCTGTTTTTTTTCAATTTGTATTCTGAGTTTGGTACCTTTTTTTGTTATGTTTTCCAGGATTCAAGGCTTGGGAAGGTCTCTTTCTCGGTTTTTGGTCCTTTTGGAGCAGCTGTGCAAGTCATCCTTATATTGTATCTTTTATCATGCATTCCCATTTGCTTAGTTTCCAGCAAAGTGTGCTACATATACATAGGGCTAATTACTACTGCATGTACATAGACACAAGCATAAAAGTAGCCTAATACATATGGCCTATTGCACAGTCAAAAGCAATAGGGTATAGGCATACATTGTAAAATGTCTGTTGTGGCACCGCGAAGCCATAGCTGCAGCATGTTTTTGCCATAGGAATGAATTCCTGAAAACACTGCACATGTGTAACTGCCTTAACTGGCGTTTTTAGGAATGCATTCTTCGAAGCAAAAGTACACTGCAGCTGTGTCTCCTTGGTGCCACAACCACAGACATTTTGCACTGTACACCTATCCACCCTTTTTGTGTTTGTGCGCAAGAGTCCTAAAGCAATGCTCATGTTGAAAACCTTACTGTCACATGGTCATATTGGAAGTAATAAGAAAATAGTTAACCAAAATGCAAAACTGTTCCATTGCTTATCTAGGAAGGCAAAAAATAGATACAAAATAGTGTAGAAACTCAAAACAACCACTCACAAATCCGTTACAAAATTATATAGTTAGGTTGAAAAAAACCCCACCAGTCTATCCAGTTCAACCCTATGTAAGTGTTTTATATGTCTTACCATTTCTCATATCCCTGTATATTGCGTTTTGCTAAAATGCTTATCTTAGAATTTGTCTTTTTTTTTTTTTTGTTTGTTTTTTTATCAACACTCCTTGCTGACACTACCACCTGTGGAAAGTTCCTGATCTGCCAGAAAAGAACCCTTACACTGTTAAGGGTTAAGCCACTTCTTGTCCAACATCATTGGCTAGGTGTCCTCTTAACGCAAAACTGGAATAGTTTTCCTCTCTATGCTAGAATCACTATTGAGATATAGGTATATTGCTATCATATATCCTCTTAAGTGTCTCCCCTCCAGGGAGAATAGGTTTAATGCTTGTAGTGCCTTGTAACTGAGGTTCTCCAGTCCCCTTATTCAATTTGCTGCACTTGTCTGGACTCTCTCCAGTATCAACACATCCTTCCTGAGGACCATTGACCAGAACTGGATGGCATACTCAAGATGTGGCTGGACCAGAGTTTTGTAAAGTGATAGGATTACAGTTTTGTCTCTTGCATAAATACCCTTTTTAATGCATGATTAGTCTGTTAGCTTTGCTTGCTGCAGCTTGGCATTGCAGGCCATTGCTGAGCTTGTGATCTACTAGGACCCCCAGATCTTTTTCCATCCTTGATTCCCTGCAAGGTTCTCCCTCTAGTGAGTACCGTATTTTTCGCTCCATAAGACGCATCTGACCATAAGACGCACCTAGGTTTTAGAGGCGAAAAACAAGAAAAAAAATATTCTGAACCAATGGACTGCAGACACAGTACAGGGGATGACCAGAGACTGCGGACACAGTGCAGGAGATGACCAGAGACTGCGGACACAGTGCAGGAGATGACCAGAGACTGCGGACACAGTGCAGGAGATGACCAGAGACTGCGGACACAGTGCAGGGGATGACCAGAGACTGCGGACACAGTGCAGGGGATGACCAGAGACTGCGGACACAGTGCAGGGGATGACCAGAGACTGCGGACACAGTGCAGGGGATGACCAGAGACTGCGGACACAGTGCAGGGGATGACCAGAGACTGCTCACCTTTGGGTAGGGAGGGGGAGCGGGTACCTGAATTTGACAGGTACCCGCTCCCACTTCCGTGGAGTTGTCCTTCCCTCTTCTTCCCCGGGCCGGCTTCTGTGACAGCCGGGTGCCCACTGCGCATGCGCGTGAGAAGCGCTGCGCTTTGTGAATGGCCCAGCGCCTTCTGGGACCTGTCATGTGTCCCAGAAGACACCGGATCATTCACAAAGCGCAGCACATGCGCAGTGGGCACCCGGCTGTCACAGAAGCCAGCGCGGGAAGACTGTGCAGCGCTGGAGCGAGGAACAGGTAAGGCCCTGCAGGAGAGAACAGCTGAGCGGCCGGCCCGGTATTCTGACATGGTGGCGGCAGAAATACCGGACCGGACGCTTTATATTCGCTCCATAAGACGCACTGACATTTTCCCCCCTTTTTTGGGGGGAAAAAAAAGTGCGTCTTATGGAGCGAAAAAATACGGTAACTTCATATTTTTTAGCCCCTATGTGCATTACTCTACATTTTTTCAAATTTAAACCTCATTTGCCATGTATTTACCCACACACCCTCTATTTTATTGAGGTCGTCTTGTAAAGTTTCTATATCCTGCTGTGAAAGTCATTGCCCTGCTTAGCTTTGTATCATGAGCAAACCCTGAGATTGAACTGTTTATACCAAATTCTATATTTTTTATGAATAAAATTAGAATAGGTCCCAGGACAGAGCCTAGGGGTACGCTCCTCACAACTCCAAACCATTCTCAGTACATGTTATTTATCACCACCCTTTAGACACGCCCCTGTAACCAGTTTTTTATCCAGGTGCATACCCTATGGTTGATGCTAACAGAACTCAATTTGTAAATTAAAGGCCAAGTTCACTTTTTTTTTTTTTTTTTTTAATAAAAATACAGCTTAATGTACCTCAGTTGCAAAAATATTCAAGCTCTCTTGAATCTGGAAAGCAAGGCCTTACCTTAGCCTTTGGTAAATTTCTTGTAAAGCTTTTTCAATTCCTGGAATGTAGACAGAGAAACCAGTAGGACCCAGGAAGCAGATTATCAGCTGATCTCATTAGCACACATCCTGCACTGACCTCATTAGTATATACCCTTCACCCATCAACTATTTTCCACATCATCCCCAGGATCTCTGCCCAAGTGCATTTGCCTGCCTACCCCAGTATCTCTACAGACGGGCTCAAGCCAAGTGATTGGATAGATGCTGTGTCTGCCTATTGTATAATTTTGGTAAATCTAAAGTAGATCGTATAGAGATTGTATAGTGTATGTCCACCTTTATACACCTAAATTACCTAGTTATGCTTTCAGTGTAGTTAACAGCCTACCAAACACAGAAACAAGCACACGTTTTGCCACGGAAGACTAATGCAGCAAAGCGCGCAGTAAAAAATATGTAACACGCATCATGCCAAAATATCCCATGAGCTACTTTGCGTGTAGTGTAGCCCATTGAAATCAACAGGCTACCCTATGTGTGTCACTGGAAAAATGAGCCAAAAAACGTGCTCCCTCTTTAGTGTGAATGGGGCCTGAAAGTGAAATTGGTGCGTTTACACAGAACAGTGAGGCTCCAGTCACATCTGTGTGTTTCCAAAGGCATGGCAATCTGCGTTTCAGAAACACGCTGCAAATAAGCATCCTGTTTGTGTTGTCATTACATGTTAAAGGTACCCCAAGTGCAGAAAACACACCAAAAACTGTGGTAACGCACCGTGCTCCGCTCCATAAAAAGTTCTGGAGCTTTTCTGGTGTGATTGTTGTGTATGGCAGCCCGTTCAAGTGAATGGGCTGCCCTATGCGTGACGAGTAAAAACGCCCAAAACAAACGCATGCGGAATGTGAGTCTTCACTATGTGGAGATGTAAAAGGGACCTGACAACTGAGTGTCTCTGCCTAATCCCTGCTATGTACTTGTATAAATATGGCCATACACTATGCAGTTTGATTGTACAATCTCTGTACAATTTCTTTTTGATTTACTAGAACTATGAACACACTTGAACAATCTATTCAATTTGTAGTAATAAGAAAAGCGCCAAAACAATAATAAACAAAACTAAGCTGCAAACCTAACCCAAATCAGGTGTATAACATAAATAAGTAAAGGAATGCGCTAATAAACAATATAGTATCAAATTACCACAAAGAATATATAAATAATAAATATGAAATGTCCACAAATCTTGTGTAAAGCCCAGCCACCATAAAAGTGACAATCAATTCTGAAGTCTTGTGTAAAACAAATGACACCGTGAAAAAATCCACCACCGAATGAAATGATTCAGCATAAATGCTATTGCTCTGGGAGCGATGATCTGTAGAGATATTCAAAGTTTGGGAGCAATACACTACAACCTTCCCCATGCGTGCTGATTGCAGTGTATTGCTCCCAAACCTTGGATATCTTTACAGATCATCGCTCCCAGAGCAATAGCGATTATGCTGAATTATAAATTCGGTGGTGGATTTTTTCACGGTGTCATTTGTTCTACACAAGACTTCAGAATTGTCACTTTTATGGAGGTTGGACTTTACACAAGATTTTTGGACATTATTTCATATTTATTATTTATATATTCTTTGTGGTAATTTGTTACTAGATTGTTTATTAGCGCATTCCTTTACTTATTTAATCCAATTTGTATCAAATTAGACAGGTCCTCGTACTACATAGCTGATGGGAGGAAGGTAGTATTGTAATGAGGGAGGTGTGGTCCAGAGTGGTGAACACAACCTATTACACCCTCTTCTGTGATGCAATAAGTGAAAGCTTCTGGGAAGTTGTCTACAGGAAGAGAATGCTAAGAGACTATCTACAGGAAATGATGCAATCTGAAAATCCTTTCAAAACCTCACAGAAACTGACAAAAAATGAATGTCCTGTGGATGAGGGAAGTGAGAGAAAAGCACATTGGGATGGCTGGGCCAGAAATGGCATTGGAAAACGCTTCTGTTCATTATGAAAAGTGAAATTCTGCCTGAAAAGGTGAACTTATGCTTTACCCCCCCCCCCCCCCCCCCCCCCCCCCCCCCCGGTCATGTCAAGCCTTGAAATCGTGCGACTTACAGTGAAGTCGGGTGAGATCCCGATTTCAGGTGCAATTTGCAGCACATCTGACACAAATGTCTATGCAAATCGCACCAAAAGTAGTACATGTACTACTTTAGTAATTGGTGCGGCTCCGAACCTCACCAATATGACCGCTCTAATTGTGGACAATAGGGTGCAACTTGGCATACGATTTGCAAATCGCATGCCAAGTCGCAACCGATGTGACCAGGGTGTTAAGCGTTTATGGTGAAGTGTATCGAATGCTTTGGAAAAATCCAAATACACCACGTCTACAGGTCTACCTCTATTTAGATGACCGTTCATTTCCTCAAAGAATGTTAATAGATTGGTCTTGCACGAAGGACCTTTCATAAATTCATGCTGATTACTTCGAAGGATACTGTTTTCAGTTATACAGTTATTTTCATTAACTTGGTTGCTGTTGCTTACAGTAATGTGTGCAGCATTGCACCTTGCACTGCCTTACTGCATAAATATATTTGAAGCAGTGGTCTCCAAACTGTAGCCTAGGGCCAGATACAGTCCTTTGCTTGCTTTACTCTGGCCTTAGGGGCACAACACCCCCCCCAGTACAAGACCTTATTCTGACAACTGAAGTCAACAGTGGGGCACTATTCTTTCCAATGATTCCAACAGTGGAGCACTATTCCTCCCCCTAATACCAAATGTGGTGGTGTTTACTCCCACTGATGCCAGGAAATTTCCACTCCTGCCCACAGTCCGAAGGACTATAAACTGACCCTTTGGAGACCCCCTGATTTAAAGTATACAACAAGCAACAACTCTCCCTGTACTATATGGAGGAGCAGTGTTGTTATTGTAGGACGGGTGGAGTGTTGGGACTACAGAACACCTCTTTTCTCAACATAGAGAGGTGTTATGTAGTTCACAGAAGAAAACAGGGAAGCCTGATAACATTGAGTTTTCGGTTCAATACAAAGAAAGTTGCAAGGACTGGATGTCTAGCAGGATCCACAATTCTATATATAGAATGTACATGCTAGGTACATTTTTATATATATATATATATATATATATATATATATATATATATATATATATAAAAATGTACCTAGCATGAATAAAAGAAATGAATACAGAAATAACATCTAAGGACTGTAATCGGCTATATATTATATTTTGGGAGGTTTAGGTTTTATTTATGCAGTTACTAAACAATCACCTTTTATTTTTATTTCGTAGTAGCAGTGTATGATTTGCATCCTTAACTCCAGTCCAGTTATCTGATGGCTGCTTCGGTGGTTGGGTTTTATTCCTCTCCGTTGTTTGTAAGACTCCTTCCCCAGAAGCATGACACAACTATGACCAAAGTAAGAATCTTTCAATGTAATGTTCTGTACAAATCCTATTTGCTGTTTTTCATTCCCCCCCACTCACTAAAGTTTCAAAAGGGTAGCAATACTACATGAAATGTATATAAAGTGAAATGTACGCTGATCCATTTCTCTTCACATCATATACACATCACCTATAGACTAACTGTCCAGTGTTGAGTTCCTAGCGTTGACTGCTAATGTCATTTTTTGTGCAGTACACCCCAAGTATCTAAGCACTGTCCACAAGAAAATCGGTCTGTGACCTTGCATCAGTTTTTGAGCAGTCGCAACAGTATTATTGGACGTTAAAGGTTACAGCCCGTTGCACATTGCACTTTACCGGTACCTTGCATAGTAAATTCTTGTCCCTTTTTTGGGGTTACAAATATGGAAAGAGTTAAACAGGATCTACATCATTCATCTGGGCAACTTGAGTCCTATTTCTATAGCCTGCCAGGGACAGTGCTTTATAAATTCATATTACTTGAGAAGATGCTGTCACCAATTTAAACTCCAAAGCTAACACCTTGTTTGCACAGGAAGGGTAGACACATCTTCCAGGTCATATATAGAATATCCGCTGTCTTCGCAAGCTATGAATCATTTTCAGCATCCAACACACTTCTGGGTATGTCAGGTACCTGATAACTTAATGTGATTCATTCTCGGACTCCTATGTTACTGCTGTGCGCTCTAGTGATGTAGGGCCAACAGTGGGAACCACAGCACATAGAGTGGGACCAGGCATTTGATACTCCTAGAAATACTGGATGCAGAAGACTTCAGCTAGAGTAGCCTTTTCAGACCATAGATACCTGTGACGCAGCAAGGTAAGTATTAACTAGGGCTGAAACAACTAATTGATTATAACCGATTTATGAAAATAGTTCTCAACTATTTTCAGAATCGATTAGTTGGCCTGCATACAGAATGCGTTATTTGTTTGCATATCAGAAAATATAGTGTAGCACACATATAGCACAGTACACCATCCATACAGATTAGTAAGTGCCTGAGAACTTGTGAATGTGTGAGGAGCAATGCTTTGTGGGAGTCCTGGGCAGGGGAAGAATGTGATTCTAAAGGCAGAAGTTTGTTTGCCTTGCTGTAGGGGCACTCTATACTGTACTTTGCGGCTTGCTATAGGGTCACTCTGAAAGCAGAAGGAGTTAGAAGCACCGGTGGGGGACCCCAGAACAGCAGAATCAGGGGTTGCTCTGTGCAAAACCATTACACAGAGCAGTTAAGTATGACAAGTTTGTTGTTTAAAAAATAAAATCCAACATTTACAATAACTGTAAAGGGCTCTGTGCAGGGAAGATCAGCATCTGAACCCAGAGAAGCTGGAGACTGATAGATTGGAGGTAAAATAAGGCATTACAATTAAAGAAGAACTCCGGGCAAAATTTTTATTTTCCCATGCAGTGGGTCTGTGCCCGCACTGCATGGGTTAATTTCTTGTCCAGGGGCACAAGGAAAAGCTAGATTTACTCAATCCTCCAAAAAAGAGCTCTCCCCACGTCCAGTGCTGTCCACACCTCCAGAGCCGATCTAAGAGTGTGATGCTGTCAGGGTCAGTCCATTCACAAGACTGCTAGCGTTTGAGGGGCAGGAGTGGCGAGGACCGGTCTTACACTCAGAGTATTGGCATATTAGGTAAGTATATCTCCGCTATGCCATCCCCTAGACAAAAATGAGCAGTTTAGCCATGCAGTGCAAGCACAGCATGGGAAAATAAAATTTTTGCCAAGCGTTTTTTAAAGTTTTCTATTCTGCTCTTTCGAATTTTTCTGTCACTGTGCTCAAAAATGAGCGTTGATTTGATCCCACTAACGATTAGAAATTTGAGCGAATGTTCTTAAAATAAATTTTCTAAGGAAAAATTTGTGTATGGCCAGCATAAGTGATTGCAAGTCCAGGTAGCTTGTATCAAGTTACCTGCCTATAAGAAGGGAGTATTATATTAGAATCCTATCTGAAAATCTACAAAACAGTGTTTTAGGTCTTTTTTTAAAAAAATCTTTCTTTAAAGAAAATTTTGATCTGAGTCGATGTGCCAGATTCAACCTCTAATAGTATATATATCTCTTCTGTCTGTTTATTCTTAGAGTGGATTAGATATTTTGTTCCCCAACCATATAGCTTGTTATTTAGATTTACCGCTACATACATATAGATATTCAAGAATAAATTGCCTTACAGACTGTATTGACTGTATTGACACACCAAAAACTCTTTTTTGAGGTTTATATCCTATTAATCAAATTAATTGGCCAACTAATCGTTAGTTGCAGCCCTAGTATTAACCCTTCATTGTTGATATGGATGTGAACAGGATTTCTTTAATTTTCACATTCAGCCTCTATTCTTACTTTAGCCAATCACAATAATGATAATTGTGTTTAGTAATTCAAAGATGTGTTGACATTTGGTTAACTTGAGATTTTTCTATCAGATCATTGGAAACTGTGTGTCCCTGCTTGTGCTAAGCTCTGCTCTCCCGGTCTTCTCAAGAACATTAGGTGAGTTTTTTCTTTTTCTTTTTTTTTTTTTTTAAAAGGAAAAATGCAATGCTATTTTAATTAATTAATTTAGAGTAGCTTCACCTTGGGCACCAAACTGGCTATTTCATAAAAATTGCAAAAAGCTAGAGATGGGGGGGGGGGGGGGGGGCTGGAGTCTGAAGTGAAGTGCAAAGTAGTGTGTTTTGTTTTTTTTTTTTTTGTTTTGTTTTTCTACTTCTAGCAGAACTAAACTTTTTCATATTTTATAGCTGGAAAGGCTTCCATCTTGGACTCTGTTTGACTTGCAGTTGCTATGGTGCTGCATGTCTCCAGTTTTCACACCAGCCATTTGATGGCTTCACAGTTCATTTGACTGCAAAATTTGGATATGGAAAGTAGTTTACCTGATATATGGATTATGGAGTTAAATGCCATGCAATCTATCAGAATCAAAGGCCCATTATGAATGAATTTGTTTCCAAGTACTGTAAGATTTTATTTGCTGTGCCTTCTTTAGTTCATTATTTTATTCTCTTTACTCTACTCTCAGGCATCACCAGATTTGATCTGCTGGGTGACTTTGGACGATTTAATTGGCTTGGGAACTTTTACCTGATATTCTTGTATAACATTCTGTTTGCTGGACTCACCACACTCTGCTTGGTGAAGAAGTTTACCTGGGCTGTACAAGCTGAGCTCATCCGCGCATTTGGTAAGAACCCCTGAAGGAGTAAGGGAGGCTGAATGCATATATGAAAAACTGGGAATTGCACTGTGGCTTGCCCAAAAAAAAAAACTTATTGGGAAGCAAAATTTAATTTTCATTAATTTCATAGTGTCAGTTTTTGCAAATGTAAACGTTTAGGCACATTTGCTGATTTTTCACTAATGAAAAAAGTATATCGTCCCCAAACCTTTTTACAAAGGTTTAGATGGGTCCGTGTATATGTAAAGTCTAGCCATACACAGATGGCATTCAGAAGTTTTGAATAATCAAAAAACAATTATATTGATCCATCAACTAAAAGTGCTAAGATTGCTCTGTGAAGGCATAGGAGAACAGCCAAACACACCTTTCTCTGCTGCCCTTATCTTGGGAAAAATTACAGGGATTGGATGAAAAAAATGCAAACTGACTAACCACTAGCTAATCATTTTGGAGGGTATGGTGCTAACAACAGACATTGTGAGCACTGCAGAATCCAGGTGCAATATGCTAGATTAGACACTGATCAGCTACATCTTTTGGCTGCATTAAAGTTTAATATATAATGTTGCAAACTTGGTAAAATAAACTAGACTAGGACTTCCTTCGATGTCAGTTTTTATTGGAGCCATTAATCCTTGTGATACCAAGATGTTTTAATTCAGGATTTAAAAAAAGTGAGCACTGATCTTGACCACCAGGTGGAGCCAGATCACCAAAGTTACCCGCTGTAAAAGATCTGATTGGGTCCTTTTTAAGGTCTCTAAAGTTGGCCATATATTATTATTTATTATTATTATACAGATTTATATAGCGCCAACAGTTTGCGCAGCGCGCTTACAATATAAGGGAGACAGTACAATTACAATACATTTCAGTACAGAAGGAATAGGAGGGCCCTGCTCGTGGAGCTTACAATCTAAAGGAAGGGGGAGGTGATACAAAAGGTGATAACAGCAGGGGATGATCTGGCGGAGGGGATTCAAGTACAGTTCTTAGGTGGAGGTGGGGTAGGCTTCCCTGAAGAAGTAAGTTTTCAAAGATCGCCTAAAGGCAGACAAGGTGGGGGCTGACCGGACATGCTGTGGTAGGGAGTTCCAGAGGATGGGAGAGGCTCGGGAGAAGTCCTGGAGGCGAGCGTAGGAGGAGGTGATGAGGGAGCTAGAGAGGAGGATATCATGGGAGGAGTGTAGTGGGCGATTTGGGCGGTATCTGTGGATGAGGTTGGTGATGTAGCTAGGGGCAGTGTTGGGAATGGCTTTGTAAGCTGTGGTTAGTATTTTAAATTTTATACGTTGGGTTAGTGGAAGCCAGTGGAAGGATTGGCAGAGAGGGGCAGCAGTCACTGATCGGTTGGTAAGGTGTATGAGTCTAGCAGCAGCATTCTCATCTATATTTTATATATATATATATATATATATATATATATATATATATATATATATATATATATATATATATATATATATTATTATTTTTTTTTTTTTTTTTTTTTTTTTTTTTTTTTTTTTTTTCCCCCAGCTTGCCTTAATCCATGTGCAGGTGGACAAAACCTGCTGTGCCTTTTGTGTTTTGATAGCTGGCCCCACTGGCTGTCAAAATACTGTACCTGAACAGCGGCTGCATCTGATTGGATGGAGACACTTTTCAGCCAGCGAATTTCTGCTTGGCTTCTTTAGTTCTCCTTTCGACAGACTCACCTACTGAGCAAATTTCATAGCAGCATTAGACTTTGCAATGACTGGTAGCCTGAGATTGTGACCCTTGCTAGGAACTGATCTGAAATGTTTTCATAAAAGAATTTACTACTGGAACAAAAAATGGGATTTGAAATGGGAACATGCAAAGATTTGGTTTATAATGAAGTGCAAACGTTCATGATGGGTAAACTTTGAGCCTGGTGATCACTTGTTAACAAGCCTGTCATTTAAGCATTGAGGCACTACCAAGAGTACATCTTTGATTGTTGCTCAACATGCAGAGATTGTTATATACACATGGTATATCAGTATAAGTTATAATGGACTTCTTGTCTTTAGTTAGTGGACCACAAAATGTGAAGATTTTCTATGTTATAGGGAACATTTATGAATGTTAATTGTACCTAAGCAGTACCCTGAAAAATCTATTTTTTTCTTGAATTCCTCTTTAAAAATAGCAGTGTCCTTCCTGGTATCTAGAGCCTCATGGCTATATCTGCAAACTGAGATCTTAGAGCACTGCTGCCTCCAGGTTCTAGTCTCTGAAGATTCAGAGATTTGGTGATGTCACTGTAAAAACTTTTTCTCATTCTCTTTTAGGACTGGACAGGTTACCTCTGTCTGTAAATAGGATTCGCAGCCAAGGCAAGGCCTGATATGTTTCTATGGAGTTGTCCTTCAATGTGTGATGTGCACTTGGCATCAAGATCCCTGAATCCGTGAATGGCCAGACAATCTGCTTCATTGGTTTCTCTTATTTGAGAGGAAAGGAGTCTCAAGCGTGGATTCTTGCGACAGAAACCTTGACCAGGTTCTACGTTCTAGGAGGTTCTACATTCATGGATTTAGATTTAGAAGATTAGAGCGTTTTTTTTTGTGGGCCAGAACCTGGATGAAGACATTTTGAGGAAACTAAATGGAATATTTTTCAGAATAATCTGAGCCAACTCTTAAACATGAATTGTGCTGCTACAGAGTAGGAGAGGGGTAGCCTGTGACCTCTTTAAATTTTCTCCTGTTATTTTGGTATTTTAACAATGAATAAGTTATTCATCTGGATTGTGGAAAGTCTCATAATAAATCCATTTGCTACCCGGGTTTAACAAAACTCTTCATAGTGCAATGGAGACACTAATTTCACACAGGAGATCATCTAAAGGACGATGTCATGAGGGTACACAGGATGAATTGATCCTCTCCGCTCTGCTTGTGCTTGTTTACATGAACTCCACTCCAGCCTTTGTGGCTTTCTATTGCCATCTCATCTGGTGTGCAATCTGTGTGCAATGACACAATACACCAGCATTATTCAGAAGCCCAACAGACTCATCTCTCATGGCATCCTCATTTTGTGTCTTTTGTATGTGTTGTCTGGTTTGACGTTTGTTTCTCCATCTTGTCCGGATTTACTATTAGAGCAGTATGTCAAAACTATGGCTGGATTAGTAGTGAATGTGTGAATAGTTCTGCTGCTGTTTGTCTTTGATTGGTTAGCTAGGCAGTGTCTTCCAGAGGTAATCTAAAAGTGCAGTATTTTGTAGAGCTTTGTTTATGTATGAAGCATGCATGGTGAATTCAACATAATGTAACTTCCATTAGGTACAGAATACTGTACTCATTAACTTCTTTCTTTCACCTTCATCGCTTAAGCTGGCCATACACTATACAATTTTCTGTCCAATTTCTGTCCAGTTTCCTTTAGATTTACCTTCAACTATGTAATGCAAGGGCCTGCCTAATTGGATACAATTGAAAGTGTTGTTTAGGTTTGATCTCATATGGTTTTTGGTAAATCTAAAGCAAAATTCTCAAGAAAATTGTATAATGTATGACCAGCCTTAGGGCCTGATTACACTATGTGTGGAGACTGGTGGTTTTCTGCACCTGATCAACACCAGTCACTACAGGGGCACATTTAATTGCATAGGTGTGATGTACAGACATGATGCATTTTTCTGCACCACACCATGCTGCTGTGCAAAGACCTGAGTACATTTGTGTAGTCCGAGTTTAAAAAACAATGTTAAGGGCGCTTACCCCCCTTCCCAATCATCACTCCAGCAAAAGGGCCACCTGCCCGCATGCTAACACATAGCATGAATGGGCCCTTATAGGAATAACCTTAATTAGAAAAGGAGATTGTTTAGGAGCAGAGTAAGCTTTACCTTATGGAGATGGTCATGCTGGAGAATGTGACATTTGAGTTGATTTAATAAAGGCAAATACACTGTTCGCTTTGCAATTCAAGTTGCACCCTGCAAGGGAATTTTCCCCAAAGCATGTGACGAAATTTTTTAGCTATGCAAAGAATACCCAATCGTGCAAGGAAAATTATTTTAAAAACATTATTGCTTGCACATGGTTGGATGATGGAAATCAGCAGATATTCACTAAGCTCTGGGGCAAATTCCATTGCAGAGTTGCAAATTCTCTTGCAAATTGAAAAGCCTTTAGTAAAAAAAAAAACCCATAGTGCCCTCCTCATAGCTGATTTGTCATCACCATGATTGTGTATAATTAAGTCATGATTTCAGAGTGAAAAAAAATGACATTTTCATAGCTGTGCACATGTTGTTTATGATTTAATGCAGCACGCCAAATGCCACTAATGAGCAGTATTTAATGGGGTTTTTTTTTTTTTTTTTTTTTTTTTTTTTTTTTAAGATATTTATCACAAACTTGCCATTAATAGGCATTTTTGGATTGTTTATTAACAGACAATCTGACATGTAACTTTATTAGTATGGGTGACAAAAATATTTAGGAATGGTTAATGTAAAGGGTTCGTCTGTTGCAAATGTTACACTACATATACTGCCCAGTAGATGTTGTTCTTAGTGAACAAACTACATACATGACCACATTAGAACTAATGTAAAAGAATGCAATATTTATATAAAAGAAAAGTCTAATATAGCCAGTACATAGTTGGCAGTAATGTCTAATTGTGCTGGTTGTAGTAGTTCAAATATGGATTGATGAACTAAAGTAATATTCTGGCTAGACGGACTCATTTACTATAATATAACAGTGACTAATAAAAAGTAAAGCTGAAATAAAAGTTGTCTTAAAGAAATTGTTATGCAGATGGTTGCATTAGATTAAATATGAACAAATTTAAGGTCAGCTATTTTTTTGCTATTTTTGTTTTTCTACAAAGATTTTCTGTCTAACATACCAGATATTTAAACTGAGAAAAATTAAAAAAAAAAAAGCAATTTTTAGTATATATTAGGATTAGAAAGTTAGGACAGTGCACGTATTATGCTACTCACTGTTCAAGCTTAATTGTATAAACTGTGATGTGCCTCCTGTGCAGGCTGCTTATGCTAAAACCTTCACAGGGATAATGATTCCCTAAAGCATTATAGACCAAGCATGAGAATCACAATTGCCTTGATGGAGAGTGGCTATTGTTTGCAGCAGTCCAATCTGTTTATGACCTACTAGGGGGTAATACATAATGGGCCTATCTTGAGTCATTGGATGCATAGGGAGGTTTAACCACTTGTACAATCTCTTCCCCCCCACACACATATTTCACCTTGCTCATTGTTCAGATTATACCTGACCATCTGATGGCAGCCTTATTCCTTATTGTGAGCACTCTCAACTCTTAAGCCTCATGCACATGGGCGATTTTGCCCATCAGCATCAAATTCCAGCATTTTCGGGTACGGATACAGCCTCTCAAATCTTTGACAGGCTAGAATATTTGGAGGCTGGACACCAGTAAGCGGTGCTCACGTTTAGGGTAAGATGTGTTCAGGAATTCTGTATTGGGACATACTCCCCTGAAGGTATATGGCCCCAAACACAAGTACTGCTTGATATAGTGTCCAGCCACCGTGTATTTCAGCCTCTCCTAGATTTTGGAAGTAGTGCTGGATGCTGCACCTGTACCTCTGGTGTCCAAAAAGGGGATTTGAAAATCCTGGACATCCGAAATTCAGGATTCAATGCTGTCAGGCCAACACACCTGTGTGCAAGTAGCCTTAAAGTACAACTTTGTCTGGGATAAGGGCAAACATTTACATTTTAGGCTGCAAACACGCTTTAAAACAACCCCTCGCTAACCTCTGAAGCTGCAGACCCTGTGGAACAATTCATTCATACAAAAGAACCAATAGAAGAAAATGAAAGTTATTACACTGTAAAATTTAATGATGGGTTGCTTAAAGTGATGATCTTACCTGCTTTGTGCAATGGATTTCCCACAGAGCAGTCCCAATCCTCTTCATTTTGGGTTCCCGTCGGTAGTCCTGGCTCCTCCCTCCCCTGTTGAGTGCTCCTAATAGCAAGCCGCTTGCTATGGGGACACTCAAGCGGGCGCTTACTCAGCTGGGCTCCTGTGAGTGGACGTTGTCCATTCACACAGAGAGCACAGCTCAGCCCTGCCCGCGCTCTCATCATTGGCTTACTGACTGTGATTGACAGCTGTGTGAGCCAGTGAGGAGTAAGAGACCTGGGAGAGCCGCTGCTCTCTTGTTCATCATTGGATTGAGATGGGTTCAGGTAAATATAAGGGGGGGCTGGAGAGGAGCTGTACTCGGAAGGTTTTTTTTTTACCTGAATGCATTAAGGTAAGAAACCTTCTGTCTGTAGAGCCGCTTTAACAGTTTGTGCAGTTGCACTTTCATTTTCTCATAGACACTGGTTCCTTTGTAAGGATAAATTGTTCCACATTGTCTGCAGCTTCAGAGGTCAATGAGGTCTTGTTTTAAAGCTTATTTACTGCTCGCTAGGAATGCATAAGTATATATTCTTATTGCCAAGGCCTGGCCACAGTTCTTCTTTAAACTTCCCAAAGAGGGGTGAGGTTGATGAAATAAGATGTGTTTGGTGACAATATTGGAATTTCAGAGTGAGGCTAGATGCCACCCCAGTTTATCTTTTAAATGTTTTATTCAGTGAAGGTTTTAGTGTGGGCAGTAATTCTGTGACTAAACCCTGCTCATGTACAATGTTTGTATGTAATGTGAGCATTGGCAAGCACCTTTTTTAAATCACTTCAGGTTTTAGCTTTAGACATTGTTCATAGATAGATATATGATTGTTTACAATTTTAATAGTTGATAAATGTGAGTTGGCTCAGAAGATCTAGCGGGTCTATGTATTAAAAATTTGCTTTGCAAATGTGTCAATCCTTCACACAGGCAGAACAAATGTTCCCAGTAATTTGTTAATATTACTTCATGCATCATCAATGCCAGCTAGTGGTGATATAATATTTTCAGAAATTTCAGAAAACATGCCGCATTACTGCCACCTGATACCTTTTGATGATAAAATAAACATATTAAGCAAATTACAGTGAAGATTTGTTGTGCTTGAGTGCGTGATTGATACGTTTGCACAGCAATTTGTTTTTTTTGTTTTTTAAACATAAACCCCTTAAACTTGTGTAAATGACCAGATAATTTTAATTCCCTAGATTATCTGCTCTTAGTAGCAGACTGTATACTTTTTTTTATATTTTAATTTTTTTGTGTATGTATTGATTGCAGTCAGAACTCCCCTTCTGTTATGATGTATTAATTTTTCATTCCATGTAAAATTGTTTAAACAAAACTTTCACATGAAATCTTCATACATCTGAGATGAATTTCACTTTTGCTTTTAAATTTAACGTCTTTTGTGTCTTATTATGATTTGA